TTTTTTTTTACATTACAGAAAATTGAGTAGAATTAAAAAAAGCTATATCATTTAAAATGCAAATCGTGTAGAACATTAAACAATTGTTGAAAGTTGATGTAATCCTGTTGACATTTCAGATGATTTAGTAACAGATTTATATAACAATATTTCTCTCGCGAGTAAATGAATTTACGCTAATTGATTTTACATGCTAGAAATGGGATTTGTTCTATTTTGTTTAGTATTCAAAGGAAAAGCAACGCTATTTATATGTGACATCAAGTACCTGCGATAAACTTTCTAAGTAGTTGATGAGGATATGAGAAATTAAGTACAGAAATGTGTTATATTTAATGTAAACTATATAAGCATTTAAGAGAATTTTCCAACGATTTCACGTGTAGAGGACATATTTTACTCAACTTAGATGATAAGCGAGCACAAAAGTATATTAAAGAAGTAAAATGTAACAACAAAGAAAAAAACGAGAAAAAAATATAGAAAATAAAAAAAACAATTTTTAAACCACATTAAATAATTTTATTTTGGTTTTTCAAAAAAAAAAAAAAAATTCCACATTCTAATTTTCTATATTTATGAATCTATTACATAAAATTAAATTTTGATAATAATAGTCCTCGGATCGACTTCAAAGTGTAAAAAAAAGTTGTTTTAGTCAATTTACTCAAAAAAAAGGAGAAAAAGTCAATTTTTTTATTTTAATTAAATTTAATTAGTTAATAAATATTTTTACTTTAAATAACTAATGTTCTTGAATATTATTTTATTCATTATTTTCATTTTATTAATTTCCTTATTGAAAAAAAAATTCTATAAGAATATTAAGAAAATTTATTCCGAATATTTCAGAAAATTTTCAAAATTTTAATCAAGTAGGACAAATTTCTGAATACAAAAATTCTTCATGTTACATTTAAAAATTTTTTTGAAATCTAATTTAAGCAATTTATTCGAATTTAAAATTATGGTATAGTTTTCAGTTCTAATGGACAAAAAAATTTTAGACAATAATAAAAATTTTCAAATTTTTAAATTAAAGTTTTTTAATAATTGAATTGCAGAAAATTTGAAATTCGAAATAAATAATCTGCAAATTCAAACATTATATTATTAATTTATAAAATAATTGAATATCAAAAGATTTTGTCAAATATCATACAGTTATTAAATTTTATAGGATGGAAAATAATTTCTCAAATAACTTTAAATAATATTTTTTGAAAGTAATTGAATTTTCGAAGATTTACAATTTAGATTTTTGAAAAATAATTGAATTTCAAGTGATTTTTAATTGAAATTTTTGGTGATTTCTGTTGATAAAATAGAAATTACATACAAAAATTGAATTTAAAAAATTTTTAATTTTAATTTTAATTTCAATTTCAAGTGATGTTTAATTGAAATTTTTGGTAGTTTCTATTCATGAAGAATTTATTAGAAATTACGGACAAAAATTGAATTTTCAAAGAATATTTATAAAAATAATTAAAAATAATTGAATTTTGTAAGAGTTATAATTGAAATTTTTTTAAATAATTGAATTTCAAGTGATTCTGAATTGAAAATTTTCAATCTTTTTATTAGTTGATTTTGTTTTTTAATTTTAAATAAATATTGAATTTCATAAAATTTTTGAATGAAAAATAGTTTAAGATAAAATATGTGAAGAAATATCATCAAAATTAATAAAAATAATTCATTTTGGGGAAGAATTTTAGTTAAAAAATTTGTTAAATAATTAAAATAAAGAAAATTTGAAGAAAATCTGCATTGTATATGAAGAAAGACGTATTTTGTTAAAAAAAATTTGTAAAAAATGTAAAAAAAACGCATCTTTTTGAAATAATTCAAGAAAAATTGTATTTTTGAAAAATAAAATCGGAAAAAAGTCAAATAAGTCGTATAATCCGAGGCCTGTAATAACTTTTCTCTTGTCATATAGAGAAAATTTTCACGGAAACTTACAGATAGGGATGGCCTTGGCCAGAAGGCGACGACGCTTCTATAAATGCTCCCCAAATTGTCTACTGCTTTAAGATTAAATTTATTCCGTGCACAACGTTAAAATGCCGATAAATATAGATCTACACGTGAATCACATTTACAGAGTCTATCGATCGATGTTCTCTTTCAATTTATTTCTCAGATAATATGTTTTTTAAAAAAAATTGATTTTTTTTAAATATTTTAGAAAAACATTTTTTATAACAATCTGAAAGGGAGACAAGTTTTTTTTTTTAATGAAAATCTTCAATTCCTGATAAATTACTAATTATAATTATTTGTTAATTACTCATGTTATAGTCATGTGATAATTTTTTAATTTTTAGATTTTATGAAAATGATAATAATTAATAATTTCTCTTTAGTCATTTATTTTTAATTCGCAACTAATTTTATTTTCTTCCCTCTCTATATATTATTATCTATAATAATAAAAAGGGAGGGAAAATTGGTATTAAGAGAGGTGATTATTTTTTTATTAACTGTCGCGACGAGATGGGATAATGTATTAATCATCAACACGTTTATACATAGAAAACTTTCGATTCAAATTATTATATTTTCGGTCTAGTCGAAAATGAATTTGCATTTTATAATACACAAGTGCATATTAAAACATATCGTCGTCAAACATGAAATAATTCTAGTCTAGTCAAAGAATGAATTTAGATATACACCCTAATTAATATAATATGTTTTTATTATATAACAAAAGTGGATTAAAATGAATATTTTAATTAAATTTTATTATAAAAACAATACACCAAAATATTAAATTTAAAAATTATTATTAAAAAATAAATTGCGATTTAAAACTAAAAAAAAAAAAAATCTTGTAAATTACAAACAATAAAATGTTGTAAATTTCTTCATATTTAGTTCAATCTATCAAATATTTTAAGAGACAACAAGTTAATATAATTTAAAATAGTGAATATAAAAGCGGAAACGGTGTAGGACGTGGTTAAAAATTCGATAGTTATTATTGAATGACAAAGAAGCTAAGTTTGTCTTGGCAGAGAAGAGGAAATTTTACTTCTGTATATACGAAAAAACATATTGGAACAATGATATAAAAAAGGCTATTATTTTCCAAAAAAAAAGAAAATAAACGCAATTTGAAGAAGAGGAAAATATAATAGAAAGTGTTTTTGAAATACACACAAAAAAGTACATATATATATATGTAGTTACAGCATGTTTGACTTGTTAAAACAAATTTATGTTGGAGAAAAAAAATAATTATATACTGGTTTTCAAGAAAATCTCATACAGAAAAAATATCTACACAAATGAAGTGGATTTATTTTAAAATAATTTATCGCCGCGGTGAGACTAAAAAAAAGCGGTTTTTCTAATCTCAAAGCTTTTAAAAATTGAAAATATTTTTTTAAAAAATAAAACCAACTTTTTGATAAACAGTGACTCCATCTGATGTGAAGTGAATGAAAACTCGACATTAAAAAGCTTTCGCAAGCTCTTGCGTCGCTATTGAAAGCTCTTGCCATCTTCAGGGGTTCGTTGAAAGCACATATGTAAAAATTGTTATTTACCTCTTGCGTCAAAACAAAAACTCTTTTTTACAAAGATTTTTTTTTTTTCGTTATAATTCATCAATTCAAAACTTATAAAAACGGTTTGGATTATTGAAAATTTAATAAAATTATTAATTAAATTTTTATTTAAAAAAAAAAAAGTATAATAGTTCTTTGCACATAGAAAAATATTTAATTTATAGTAAATTACGTTATTAATATAAAACTAATAAATATTAATCTTTAATTTATCTTTTAAACAAATTTCTATTAACCACAAATAGAATTTTAATTTATTAATTAATTAATTCCAAACAATATTTATTTATTTCCATATTATAACAATATTTTATTTAAAACAAAATAAAAGGCTCTCTCTAAATTTGAATTAGTACAAATTTTAATTAATTTGAATAAGTGACTTACTTATTGCTTACGAATTAGTTAAATTTTACTAATTCGATAGTAAATTTTTTTTTTTTTTTTGATGATTAATTAGTTAATTGAATTTTACTAATTCAAAAACAATAAATGAGTCAATAATTCAAATTAGTTAAAATTTTTACTAATTCAGATTTAGAAAGCATAGGTATATACAATAATTTTTTTTCAATTAGGTATTATTTATATATTATTATACTTATTTTCTCTCTCTTTTGAATTATTTAAATTTCTTTCACTAATTCAAAACTAGTATAAATTTTCACTAATTTTTAGTAAAATATTACTATTTGATTAAGTAATATTTTTACTAAAATTTTAGAGAATAATGACTACAAATTAATAGACATTTTTACTAATTTTTAGTAAAAAAAATTTATAGTACATTTTTTCATATTACTATTTTTATTTAGTAATATTTTTTTAACTAGAGTTTTTATAAAAAATGTTAAAAAATTAGTTGAAATTTTTACTACATAATTTTTAGTAAAATATTACTATTTGATTTTTGTTATTAATATTTTTTTAAACTAAAGTTTGAGTGAATAATGACTACAAATTAGTATAGACATTTTTTTCAGTAAAATATTATTATTTAATTTAGAAATATTTTTGTTCTGATAAAAAAAAGTTTTTATGAAAAAATGACCAAAAATTAATAGAAATTTTCACTACTTTTTAATAAAACATTAATATTTGATCAAATAATATTTTTTTAATTAAATTTTTATTTAATAATATTTACAAATTAGTAGGAATTTTTTTTTTTTTTAGTAAAATATAACTATTTGATTTAATAATATTCTTCTTACTTTAGTTTTTATAAAAAAGGAATACAAATTAGTAGAAATTTTCACTAATTCAAATTTAGAAAGTTTATTATTACAAACAATTAATTGTAAATAATTATCAATTATAATATAGTATTTATTTGGACTTTATATTAAAACAATTGAATTGTTATAAATAAAGGAAATTGATGGGGAGAATTATATTGTAAAACTTAAAAGTGTATAATTAAGAGAATAAATCTATCTATCTATCTATCTATCTAATTATCAATTATTTTTTATTATTTTATTATTTATTATTATTATCATTTATTACTTATTATTATTATTATTATTATTATTATTATTATTTATTATTTATTATTATTAAAATTATAGAAAAATATGATTCTCTGTTAATTAAAAAAAAAAAAAAAGATTATCGATTACTTGAAAAATGTTTAAATTGGAGATTTCAACGAGTGATATTGGACTAACATTCATCATATTATAGGAATAAAAACGATTCGCTCACTTATTTGATGGATGTCTGACTAAACGGATTTTTTTCTACTGACAATGGACAGCTGATTTGCGCAGGCGGTGCTTTTTCCTCATCGTCAAGAAGATGAACGAGAAGATGTACCAAGAAATTTTACATGTTACTTTTTGCAAGAACAAATAAGATTAAAAATTGAAGTCATCAAAAAATCTGAAAAAAGAAAAAAATTAGATTTTTTTTTCTTTAGTTCGATTCAAACAAATTTTTATGATTTTGGGCAATTATTTTTTTTTTTAAATTCAAAACAAAAATTTGAATAATTTTTTTTTTCCATTGAATAGAATAGAATTTATTTTCATTGATGCTACAAAATAGTTTTAAAAAAAAATTTGAATAATTTAATTATTATTTTTGAAAAAATTGTTTAAACAATTATTTTTAATGATTAATTTTAATTTTTTTAATTATTATTTTGATGCTTTTAGAAAAAAGTCTATTTACAATGTATTTTTGGGTAAAATTTTTTAATTGCAAAAAAGAAATGAGGCTGCGTGTATAGGAATAGAAAAGAAAAAGAGAGAGAGGCTCTCTTTATGTTATATTTGCTGGATGGAAAACAAGAGTTGCATTGATGATGACCCACGAAGCGCATCTTTGAGGAAATGCAACTATATTGCTTCTTTGCGCGCATCGTCATTTTCAAACGTTGTCCTAATATTATATTCGTATTCCTTCGTATTTCTGGAATTGGATCGGTGGGACGATGGTGGACGCCGGTTAAGCTTTGAGGGTGACGTGCTTTCCAACTTCAGTCTTGTGAGATCCATCTCACATATCGCATATTATTCCGAAACGATAACAAAAAAAAAATACGAATCCGATTGTGTTGTGCTCTGGATAATATCTACAAAAAAAAAAATACCGTTAAAAACAAATTTTTCAAATTATTAATTCAATTATTCTAGAAAGAAGAGGAAGAAGAATTAATTCACCTCAAAATATTTTTAAAAAAATTTAATTCATATTTTTGCTAATTCGATTTTTTTCAAGAATAGTGTTTTTTATTTCGTAAAAGTAAACAAAATCTATGTGTCGCAAAATATTGTGCATTAAAAATAAAGACGTCACGAATTTAATAAATATGAAGAAAAACCCTTTGATTTCTTCTTTTTTATGATAATATTTTTCAACATGGATGGAGACGATGATGACAAGACAACTTATCCTGATGCGCTTTTTAAGATAAACAAACTCTTTCATTAAAAAAAAAAGAGAAGAGAAATTATAGCAAATTTATTATAATAAAATTAGATTTTTTTTTTGGAAAACGAAAAAAAAAATTCTCCACGTTTCAAGGATTTTGAAGTTGATATAAATAAACGTTGCGGTGAAATACGATTCATCTGTGGGAGCATTCCTCAAAGAAGAATTTCTCACTGCAAAGTGAAAACCACGCGTGCAGTTTTCTTGAGTTTTTTTTTTCAAAGTGTAAGTGCAAAAATTAAAAAATGGCAACTACGGAAGTTTTTCAAGATTGGGAATCACCACATGATATAACTTCAGTTACAAGGAAAACAACAAGAAAAACAACAACCACAAAGACTACAAGAAGATATGATCCAAATAGTACAAATGATGACAGTTGGGGTGATGATAATGAAAATGATAAAAATAAAAAAAATGAGGTGAGACTAATAAAATAAGTAAAAGAAATCTTTGAAACGAAATTTAAAAATAAAATTTGAATAGTTTAGAAATGAAAATCGATTTAAAAATATTTTGACAATCGTCTTAGGGATTTAAAGAAAATTGATGGGCCCTTGAATAATCCTAGATTTTTTTTTGTTTTTAGAAAAAAAATTTTTTTTTTTTGTGCAATCTTAAATGATTCATCGACTCGTATAGTGTCTGGTTTTGAAAGCGGAGGTTGAATTACGTAGTTTCAAATTTATTTGCCGTGCCAAAAGTTTTTCTCTCGAAATCAGCCTTTCCGCGTCACGTACAGATATTTGCACCTCGTTGGCTTCAATTCTCTAATATCTCTCTTTTATATAAAAGATGAAGAGAAAAATGCGCTTTGTCCTGCGATTAATTCAATTTTTCCGGGTTTTCATATTATAATTTTTTCAAATCCAATAATCAAAAAAAAAAAAAAAACTTGGAAAGATAAAATCATACAAAAATTTTATGGAATCTTTTTTTGTTTTCTATAAAAAAAAATTTTTTCTTTACATTTTTGAATTTGTAAACAATTTGTAAGTTCAATGGGCACATAGTTAAATTACAGGTTGCTTTAAAGAAAGTATATTTTCTTGAAGGGGAAGATTGTATGACGTCTAAACTTTATATTCGTGCACGATGGCCCTGGAGAAATATATATTTCTGTCAACACGTGTATTTAATCCAAGTTTTTTTTTCTGATTCTGCTTATATTGATTTTCCTTGAAAGCATACACTTTCGAATAAGTACAATATTTATTTATTTTCATGTGAGCATATGTTAATATTTTACAAGCCAAAAAAAAAAAAAAAAAAAAAAATTGAAATATATAGAATAATCAATGAAATTACAAAATTTTGATTCAGTAAATTTTGTGTTGGTTTATTTTGAATATATAAAACGAAATAAATTCTAATGTACTTTAAATTTTCAACAGTATAATATAATGAAAATTTTAATTTACAATCATTTATGCAATATATTAAAAATATATTTATGATAGAGGAAATTTTTCGAAATTCAGGATCCTTGCCAAAGGATCATGAAAAACAAATTCAATTTGCGAATGGGATATTTTAAAATTAGTTAAATGATAATATCGCTGTCTGATGACGCGAAAAACTCATTTTGTTTTTACTTTTGCCAAAAAAACATTTCCATTTCTCTTTACCTCATTACACTTTTTATCTGATGTATATAGATTCACGTGCATAATATTTATTTATTTACTTAATTCAAGTTCATTGCCATTCTTTATTATTTATGTATACGTTTTCTTTTTTTTTTTTAAACACGCAAGTAAATTTTCCTGTAGGTAATATAACTGTCTCAAAGTTATATATCAAAAAATATTTTTATTATCGTTATAAATTTTACTTTTTTAAAATGTAAAAAAAATTATGTATGTTTTATGATTTTTCTTTTTTTTTTTGACGAATTCTTATTAGACTGACAGCAATTAATGACATTTATCTAGTTTGCCAAATGGCAAAACGTCAGAGTCATAGTATAAGTGCGAAAAAGACTTCCGGTTTTGCTTGATGAGTGAAACTTTTAAAAAAGAATTGTTTAAAAGGGAAAATTTAATTAGGAAAAATTGTACATAGATTATATTTTGATTTCTGTTCTTCAGTAATAATTTAATTAAATAATTTTTCTTTTTTCCTCGTTTCAAGTTTTGAACAAAATTATATACTACTTATTTGGATTTTATATTATAAACAATTTAATTGTTAAAAAATAAGGGAATATTGAAAAGGAATATATTGTGAAACTTAAAAAGTGTAAAATGAAGAAATAAATTTATCTTTTATCTTATATAATTAATAATTATATTATTGATATTTAATAATAATAATAATAATAATAATAATAATAAATTATAATATTCAAAATTAAAATAGAAATAATAAATACTATGAAAATACTATTTAAATAATATAAAAATATTAAATAAATATATAATTAATTAAATATATAATTTTTATTATAAATAATATATATATATATATATATATATATATATATATATATATATATATATATATATATATATTCTAAAATGGGCTCCAAGCATTTATTTTTAATTTTAGAATGTTGATTCTAAATTATTATCAACGGACAATAAATTTTCGTCAAAATTGAACATCTTGTTAAAATAACAATTCAAACAATATTCGAATATTTTCATCTCATTTTTTTTTTAAGAAAAACGAAAACTTGATTTTTGACGAAATATTCCAGTTATAAATGAAACATAAAATAAAATTTTTTTTTATTAATTTATTATTTAATATTTATTAAAATTTTATTATTTGAGATATATTTAAGATTTTTGAAATGTAAAGTAGAATATGGGATTAAAAACAAATTTTCGACATATTTCTCACGACACATAAGAAAGTAGTAACATAAAATATAAAGCAGAGAATGACAAATTTTGACTGAACAGTTGCGCAGGCAGTAAATAACGTCTTTTCACATTTAGGTGAAAAGGTGGATAAAGATTTTGACAGATTCATATGAAATAAGTGATTGGCCACTGCAAGTCGCGTTATAATCTTGGCGTGCTTTTGTGTAAACACTCACCAGAACTGAAAATTTAGAAATTGTTGTAAAAAAATAATTATTATGGATAATAATTTATATATTTTTTTTTATATCACACAATTTCCGGAGTTAATTTTAAACATTGAAATTTTCTTTTTTTTATTTAATATATTAAATAAATAACTATTAATAAAAAATATATTAATTAATTTAGAAAAAAAAATGAACGGTTAAATTGTGAGTTGTTAAGAAAATTGATTATAAAATTAGAATTAGAATTGCAATTTTAAATCTATAATTGTGAATTCACCTGATAATGAATGTTCAACCACGCGTTGATAAACCTCTATAACATGATACAATTACACATGTGAGATGAGAATAATTACATTACAGCCTCTGCTATATCAATAGGAGCATGAAACTTCACTGATCTTGGCAATGATCTTCACTATTAAACATATAATCCTGTATATATTTGAATATTAACATTAAACAACAAAATTTATTAGAATAATTATTTATAATTCAAGAATTATAAATATTTAATAAAAATTAATTCAAGAATAATTGTTATTTTTATGATAAAATTGATTTGTCTAACATTTACGGTATTTTTGTTTTACCATCTGCTAGTAATAATTGTCTAATACAACAATAAATTTTGTTTCCAAATTTTAAACTGACATTTAAATTCTTTTTTAAATAAACTGATTTTTTCTATTCTCTAAATTTGTAGTGAGAATTGGTTCACTAATTCAAAATAGTAAAAATTTTTCCTAGTTTTTAGTAAAATTTTACTATTTATTTAGAAATATTTTTTTTTACAAAGGTTTAGTGAAAAATGACTAAAAATGAGTGGAAACTATCAATAATTTTTAGTAAAATATTAGGTACTATTTGATTAAGTAATATTTTTTTCACAAAATTTTTAGTGAATAATGATTAAAAATTAATAGAAATTTTTTACTAATTTTTAATAAAACATTATTTGATTAAATATTTTTGAATAAAGTAATAAATAAATTAATTAATAAATTAGTGAAAATTTCTACTACAGTAAAAATCAAAAAGCACACTGAAAACAAAAAATTATTTGATTCAAATAATTGGTTACTTGACTATTATCAAATAAATATTTATTTACCTATATCAAATAATTATTATTTATTTATTTACACGAAGATTTATTTGAATCAATTAAATGGTATTTGTTCCAAATACAGAAATTATTGGTTCAAATACAATTTATTTAATTTAAATAAAAATTATTTGGTTCAAGTAAATATTCATTTATAGTCAAGTAACCGATTATTTTAATCAAAGAAATTTTTTTTCCAATGTAAAATTAAATATTATTAAAATTAAAATATTACTATTTGAATTAGTAATATTTTTTTACTAAAATTTTAGTAAAAAATTTATTTAGTAAATTTTGTAGTAAAATATTACTATTTCATTTAATAATATTTTTTACTAAAGTTTTAATGAATTAAAAATTAAAAGTTAAATTAATTAATTTACTAAAAATTAATATAAATCACTAATTGAAAATAGTGAACGAATTCTCTCCAATTCAAATTTAGAGAGAGCAGTTTAAAAATTAATGTTAATATATTTCTTGTTAATTTAAATTTATAAATTTATGAATAAAAAATTATCAGTAATTTATAGTATTAACTATCAATAACTTTCTATAATATACAAAGTGAATGACTTTGTGAATTTCTTTGGATTATATCTAATTTTATGGTTTTTTTTCGTTACTTGCGACCTTCTTCACACGAATTAGAACGTTGGATTAGTTTCCATCTTCAGAAGTAGCGAATGTGATGTTCACGATACACTTTCGTGTCGTGAGTTCCCATTTAATGCATTGCTCATTTTTCATGAGAACGTTCTTTAAAGGATACGCTCAAATAGTTTCACTATACTTTGTATTACAAAATATTATATTTAATTTTTAATAAATATTAACTATAAAAATATCAGAAAATACTTTTAATAAAATCGCATGTTTTTTTTACTATTATTATTATTATTTTTTACTTTTTATTGTTTTCATTATTATTATTATTTATTTAAAAATATGACTATTTCAAATTAGATTTTCAAAAAAATTGTAAATAATCGAAAATTGTTGATTGTTGTGAAATGTGAGAATTCATTTTTTTTTTAAAGTACTTGTTGAATAATGTCTCGAAATGGAGTGAAAGTTTTTTTGAATGTGGATTCACTAAGCCTTCTAAGTATCTCTGGATGTGCCACCACTTCTTTATAATACTGACTCTCAACAAGTTCCATAGCATAATATGTATATACTCACAATCAGTTGTTTTGTAGCATTCGTTCTAATAGGTTTCACCTCAGATTATATTTTATCAGTTCTATGATAATTTTTACCGGTTTTGTTTTTTTTTTCCCTAAAAAAAACATAGTTATTATTAAAATGAAAAAATAATACAATAACAATAATTTTATTTTTTTTGAAATAAGTGACTATAGTGAACATCAAAAAAGACACATTTAAGAATTTTCTATTTTGTAAGTAAAATTATTTTCGTTAAAATTATATTTATTAAAGACAGGACTATTTTAGCAAAATTTGTATTACCTTTCATTTTTTTTTTACTTTTTATTATGCTTTTTATTATTTTTAGTAGAAAAATAAATTGTTTAGAGAAAAACTTCTATGCATTATATAAGGCATTTATTATTTTTTTTATTTAACATAAACGGGATTACAAAAATTAAAAACAATAAATAAATTAACAAAATTATTATGTTGTGTTTAAAAATTCAGATAATTTTCTTTTATAGGAGTATTATTAAATTGTGATAATAATTTTCATACTATTAGTATTATTAAATATTTCATACAAGTAAATATTTTTTGAATTAATCAAATATCGTAAAAAAAATTTGGAAAAAACATAATTGATTCAAGGCTTGAATAAACAATTGTTTTTTATCGAAAAATTACTATTGATTCCCACACTTTTTTTTATTTGTATCAAAGAATAAATTTTGCATTTTTATATCGAAAAATATGTTTCAGTAAAAAGTTAATTTTCAAATTTATTTCAGAAAAGTGTATTCAGGAATTAAATTTACCTACATGACGATTGAATATATAAAAAAAAATTTATTTTACATATGTTTATTAGAATAAAATTTTTGTAATAAAACAATAAATAAAATAATAAAAATAATTTTTATAAATTTATAATAAATCATTCTATCGTTGATACAAGCACGTGATATTTACAACGCACGTTTTTTTTATGCTTCTTAAGTTGTTCCGGTTTCTTCTGCATTGCGTAATTAATTAATCAAATTAAAAATAGAATTGCTACTTTTATATATGCCGTGAGTGATGAATACAATAAAACAGTGTGTAAAATATAAATAATTATATAATGATTTTTTTAGTAAATAGCTTACATTCTTATACATAAATTTATTTCAAAAAAAAAAAAAAAAAAAAATAGGAAATCTTTATGAAAATAATTTGCATCAACTCCTACTGTTTTTATTAAAAAATCAGTAATTTCTTGTTTTTTTCTTAGAATATATTTATTTATAAATTTGTGAATAATGGCAGAAAAATTAAAAATATTCTCCATTATTATAAATCTACTTTTTTCTGAATTTAAATTCCAAAGGAAATATTTAAAATTAAATTAAAAATTGAAAATAGTGATCAAACCGACATTATTATAAATCTGCTTTTTTCAATAAAATTGAATTTAAATGCCAAAGGAAATATTTAAAATTAAATTAAAATTTTAAAATAGCGATCAAACCGGCATTATTATAAAATTATAAATCTACTTTTTTTCAATAAAATTGAATTTAAATGCCAAAGGAAATATTTAAAATTAAATTAAAAATTGAAAATAGTGATTAAACCGACATTATTATAAATCTACTTTTTTTCAATAAAATTGAATTAAATGCCAAAGGAAATTAAACTTTCTTAAGTATATATAGATATCAATTTTATTATGAATAGTTTTTTTAATCTATTTTCTCAAAAGTTTTAAACTTGAAAGTTGACTGAAAATGAACGCTATAATATTTTATTTATTTGACACAATATATGATTATGAAAGTATATTAATAGGTACATGATAAAATGGTTCAGCAAGTGAAATTAAATTGCATGTCATAATATAAAATTATAAATGCTTGCTCTCTAAAATATAATATAAACATAAACGGAGAAAACAAGGTACAAATAATTCTCCTGATAATAAGTTTATTGTTCTCGTTATAATTTTTATTTTAATTTCAATTTCATTCGAAAATAAAACAAAAATTTGTATTTACAATTCCTTTATAATAATTCTCATTTCTAGTATTTTCTTTTCTAATAAAGAATTAAATAGACTCTTGAATAGAGATTTCAATCATGATAATGAAAACAGGATCTATCATGACCGGATTTTATATCAGATCGATTGATCTATCCATTCTATTCTAGATGTTGCGTAAATTTCCACACTTTTCATATTGAACAATTTGTTTTGGAAAGAAAAAAATTTTCGAGATCCTTTTTTTAGAAAAAAAAAAAAATTATTTACACAAATAATAATATTTTTTACAATATAATTTTATGGAATTTAATGAATATTTTTAAAAAATTTAATGTGACAATATAATATTTTAAAAACAAATTAAAATAATAGCGCAGTGAGTCATTGAAAAAGGTTAGGATCTGCATTATGTAAAATGATGATTTGTATAAAGGGTGCTTGACCTTTTCATTTAACACATAAATTCTCGTTTAATGTCAATTTATAATAATAGCCATGACGCATTAACCGCGAATATAACTATAATTATGTATAGACGTTTAAATATACTTAAAGCTCTATTTTCAAAACTGCAATAAACCTTAGTTTTTGAAATTTTTAACTAGTCAAATTTTTGATAATTAAAAATCAAATATTCGTATATAATATGAGATTTTTATATGAATTATATATATATATATATTATTTGATTTAAATAATCGGTTACTTTATTATCAAATAAATATTTACTTGAACCAATAATTTCTGTATTTGAAACAAATATCATCTCAAATAATAATTATTTGATACAAATAAATATTTATTTAATAATAGTCAAGTAAACGATTATTTGAATCAAATAAATTTTTTCTCAATGTAGCTTTTTTATTTTCGAGAAAGATTTTCTTCAACTATTTCCAAGTTATAAGTTTAAAAATAATTTTTTTTTATAAAACTAATCTATCATGCTTTTTTTTATTATCGCCACTTGAAAAACGTGTTTTTTCCTCAATTTCTTGTATTTATAATTATTTTCAAAAAAGAAAAGATATATAGAAATAAAGGAAGATTCAATTTTTATTCAGATTTCTACTTTTTTTTTGTTTGTTATGCTCACCTTTTGGTCACCTTCATAATGACTTTAGATGACTATATAAAATGAAGAATAAAAATCAGTTTGCAAAATGCGGATGTGTGACCAACAAAAAGCAACACGATATATTGTATTTGCTAATAAGCCGCTGTATACACAGAATCATTTTGACCTCGAATTCCAATTACTACCTACACATTTCAAAAACCAATTTACCGTCAATCAGTAAATTGCAAATTTCAATTAAGATAAATGATTATATTGTTTTAGTACTTTGTAATCGTATTATAAATATATTAATATTAATTAAGTCTATGACAATTTCTCTTCCTAACTATATTTAAAAAAAAAAAACATTTATACATCATTTACAAAATATTTATATTTTTAAATATTATTAATAAATATTATAAATTACATTAATGAATAAATTAAAATAATTTATTAATAATTTATAAATATTACTGATTTGTAGAATATATAATTATATATATATTTAAATAAATTTTCTTATTACAGTAATAAGTCGCGTGACCAATCATAAATTTTGTCACGTGAACGTTGTATATTGAATATTTATTAATTAATTGACGAATTAGCGATCAGTGTGGGCGGAGACTATTTTTATTTAATAAGTTGACAAGACTATTATTATCAATTTAATTATCACATAATCGTTGTAACTGATTAGAGCAATTTGCTTTTAATCTTTTTGCTTTTTATCAAATTAAAACGTAATCTTATAGTGAAGTGCGTTTTAAAAAAAAGAAATACATTTTTGGATAAGATATTTCAATTTTAAAAAAACGTATGTATAAATATTTATAAATCATTAAAGTTAAAATAATATTTTATTCATTATTAATTATATTATTATTAATTAATTAATAAAAAAGTATTAATATTGATATTACATATTTACTCTTCTGGACAAAAATAATATTAATAATTAATAAAATTAATTAATTAATTAATAATTAATAAATAAAAGATTATAATAATAATAAAAATAAATAATAAAAAGAAAGAAATATTTGCAAAAAGAGACAGAAAATGAATGAGAGTCTTTTCTTCATAGGGCGTTGCCTGTCTTGTTCACATGTCATTGTGTTGTATAATGATTTCAATTATTATAACTTCATACATAACAAAAAATTAGATTTTGTAATACAAGATTAAATGTTTAGATGATAAAATATTTTTTAAAAAAATTGTCCACAGTCAAAACCACATTCACTGTCTCTTTAAGTTTTTATTCTTATTTCCGCAATCTTTGTGGCTATAGCAGTCAACCTTTCACTTTGTCTAGATTCGTAATTGCTGAGAAAATTTATACACTCTTTCATTGCAAGTGCAAATAATGTACTATTATTCTTATTTAGCTACTTCAATATACATTGAGTATGAAGAATTTATTTAAATATTATATGATGTAAATTTATTCATACATATTAGAATATAAAATTTTTGAAAATATTTCAAAACACGGAAGCGTGTAAAAAATTTAAATCTTTTTTTGAAAACAAAAATTATTTTTTTCTAATTTAAATAAACTATTTCTTATAAATTTATATTAATGAACGGAAGTTTGATGTCTTTGTGCGTGAATGAACTTACGCAGTAAATAAAAAAGAGTTTTAATAAAGGCGAGGATTGTCTCCAGAAATTCATTTACGATTCATTGCGCATAATTTCTTAGTTTTTCTACCCACGTACTTTTTCTTGGGGTTCAATTCTTTTTATATGGTAATTAAATTCTAAAACCTACCTTTCTTTTAAATGATAAAAAAAACTTTTTTTTATAACATCATGACATATTTTGTATATTGTTATATTTTCACTTCAAAAATAACAAACATAACCTAAAATTTGTTTACTATGTTCCTTTTCTCATTGAGTGTCACAAATAGTAAAAAATATACAAATCTTTCACGTCAAAGAATCAATATTTCCATATACAAAAATCCAATAATTAATTCAATCAAATTTGTCATTGATTGAATATTTATTTTAACAGCACACTGTAAAAAATGTTGACTATTTACATCAATGCTCGATGGTAATTATTAATTAAAGGATCCTGTACGATCGATGCAAAATCACAACGAGTATCGATAAATTTTAGCGCAAATTTCAAAATTCACCAATGGCAATTTTATTATTTTAATAAAATTCCTCTGATTGGATAATTTTTGAAATTTGCGCAAAAAACTACTCGAGTCAAATATTGAAATTATAAATATAAAAATTTCAATTAAAAGATGTTTTTTAAATAAAAAATTTAATGAAAATTAAGTAAATTTTATATTTAATTTCAAATATGGATGAATTGCGGGGTTATTCGGAAGAAAGTTTAGATAATATTAATGCGGGCCTAGGTCACGGGCGGCAGATCTCTCTTACCGGCTAGTTAGTTCACAAGAAGGCCAGTGGCCGCGCTCGTGCTCACTATAAATAATTATGGCGCGGGGATGTCCAATTATAGGCTGTTGGGATGATGCCAGCCTGCGAGAAGGCCTCAGCTATTTCTGATTCTGTCGCCGCTATATAGCAATACAACAGAATCTTTAATCAAAAACTACGTGTTATATATTGCAAAAAAAAAAAAAAAATATCATATATTTTTATATATTTATTTATTTTTTTATTCAACATAGGTCGATAATAAAGTTTACCCCTTCCCCCTTTTTTAAAATAGGCGCTGATAGCAGGAGGACAGCGCCACAACGCGGGAATTTCCCCAAGAGTATCTTCTCCCTCATGTTTTCCTAATACAAATTTTTTTCTTTTATTCTTGTTTTTCTTAAATATTGTATATATTATTTACATTTTATAACAGGAAAAAAAAGTTTTATATATTTTTACAATAGTAAATGTAATTGAATATTTTTTATTGTGAAAATTTTTTTTAAATTACATTTAAAAAAAAAATTTTAATTATTGTAGAATAAACAATTTTGTTTGAGAATAATAATATAGATTTTTATCTATATAGAAAATTCTTGTCTTCATTCAGTTACTTCCGCGTGCTATATATATTTAAAATAATACAAAGCCAAATATTTTATATTCTCAATACATTCATTCAAATTAGTATATGTTATAAATAAATTTTTCCAAAGAATGGAAATTTTTTTTTTTTTTTGATATTTAAAAGTCATTTTATAATAACAATTTTAATTGATGTCTGTATAAATTAAATTATTATATATTTTAAATATAATAATTTTGAAAACTAAAAAAATTATAAAAAAATTAATTAATTAATTAATTAATTAATTAATTCAATTCTCTAATTGTATAAATTTTTTATTAAAGGTATGCAAAAATAATTATTAAATAAAATTATTGTTTGTTACATTAATAATAATAAATTGTCTTTGAGAAGCTAAATAATTATTACTCAACTCTGATTTAAAAAAAAACAAAACCAATTATATATAATATTATAATGTGAACTAAGGTGATTGAACTTGCTTTTTATATACTAAACGAGTCTATAATTAGTTTAATGGAAACAAATGCCAAGTTCTTTTTACAATGTACACATGGCCTTAAATTATAATACTACAAAATTCATAACTAATTAATCTAATTCATAATTTTAGGTTTATACAAACGCACCAAATTTGTAATAAATAACTTTAGTTTAGAAATTTTTTTTAAGCAGACAAAAAAATTAATTTAATATATAAAAACATGTTTATCATTACTAGTTTGGTAATAATTATTAAAAATTAAATTTGAAATTTACCGCTAAAAATGGTGAATCATTGACATGCGTGAATAGAGTTGCGCAGAAAAATGTCCAGTATTGGTCGTATATGTATACGCTAGCTGTCAGACATAATTTTTATAACGTTTGACATTTTTTATCATTTGGAGTATAATTTTTCAAGAGTTTTGTGAATTTTAATGGTAATTAATTATTAATAATTTTATTCAAATATGGTAAGAAAATTAGATTTAAAGATTTTGTTATTAAAAAATTGTACCGTTCATAACCTAAATGCATCTTTTATTATGCATTAAATGGTTGACAAAAGGGCGCTGCCGTTATCGCGACAGGTCAATGATGTACGTACGTTTCAATGAGAGAGTATAAAGTGGGTGAGGTTTCTAATTGTTGATGATGTCATATAGTTTATTTATTCAAGGATGTTTTTTTAGGAATTATAATCTCATTTGACTTAATTATTTTGGAATCAGAATATAGTGTTAAAAAATACTAGTACAGTTGTATTTTTTTTTTATTTACAATTTGGCATAGTAGACAAATTGTCAATGAAAATCGATCCTAAATTATTCGGGTTAAAGGGCATCAGCCGAATTGGAAGCTTGCCGAATTTAAATATCAATCGATCACTTGCTCTTCAGTTGATTTCTAAACGTGATCTTAAACAGCAGGATCCGTTTAATATGATTTGTTTAAGTGTCATTATCGGGAATAATTTTTTGTTAATAATTTTAAACAATTTTAAAATAGTATATTAAAAACGAAATTTAGTGTTTGATTTTTTATTAGTTTTAGAAAAGTACAATTTTCTTGTGATCAATTTAATATTGTTGATAGTTACCTCGAGTGGAATAAGAAAATTTATTTTTTTTTCTGATAAACAATGTCTCGAAGAACCTCATTAACTCGTCAGGGCTTATTGCCTTCGCGAAAAAATTCCTCAAGTTCGAGACGATCTTCTATTGATCAGCGACCTTGGTGTAATTTTCAGACATCCGCATCGACAAAAACAACCACCATGACGACAGCGGCAAAGCTGTATGGAAAAGATTTGAGCGAATATGACGACGTCGATGTCGATGAATTGCTGTCACAGCTAACACCTGAGGAAATTAATATACTTGCCAAAGAAGTAGATCCTGACGTAAGTAAATTATTAATAAAAAAAAAAAAAAAAAATTGCCTATAATAGGCTATAAAAAGCACTTAATTTTGTCATATTTTTTTCAGGATAGTTTTATGCCACCTTCTCAACGCTGCAGTTACGAATGTGACAAAAGTCCTACGGGGCCGCTGAATCGAAAAAAACTTATCGAACACATTAATAAACAGGCCTTGGAAACGCCAGATATTCCAGAACTTAAACCCTTCGTACCTGGAGTCATCAGAGGGAAGAAAGTGAGTTCATTTGATAAATTTTTAGTAAAATTTTTAAAATTAGTTAAAATTTTGGAATTTCTTCTTAGAAAATATTCTATTTTTTCTTTATTTTACAAAACGATGCTAAAGTTCGTCAACGATTTTTAAAGAAATATATTTTTTAAATGAAAATTTTTGTCTAAAAGAAATTTATTGTAACGTTTATTGATCAAAAAATTAAAAAACGTTTTTTAGTTAAAATTTATTATAATTTTCTAATCGTTGATCGTAAACGCTTTACAAAAAAATACAAAAATTCTGAATTTGCTTTCAAAATCTAAATGAGAATTCTTTTTAACAAATATTCAAGTACTTTAATAAAAATATTTTCATTATTTAGTGGGTGCCCCCGCCACAAGACAATATAAAAGAAAAAGAAGCAGAAGAACAAATTGCTATTGACCTTGGTGACGAATATGAGCAAGCATTGTCGTCTGCTACTCAGGAGGAAATCATTGATCTTGCTGGTGAACATATATATATATATATATTTTTTTTTAATATTAATTATATTTTCGACAATTTTTGATTACTGTATTGAAAAATGATTACTATTTACTTTAATTATTTGCAGCCATTCTTGGATTTCATTCAATGATGAATCAAGATCAGTATCATGCATCTCTTTTAAATTCGGGGCAACCTGTTGGTATGGGTTGGGATGGAATAACAAAAGCCAGTCAACCAAAAGTTTATCCTGTAGATCCTCCAAATGACACAGATGTCGATGAAACTATAAGGAAGGTTCGAGAAGATAATCCTTCGTTACAAGAATTGAACTGGAATAATATTAAGGTACGAGTTAATTATATTCCAGACTGCGAATTATACAACTTTTTCTACTTTTTTTCAAAAATACGACTTTTTTCGACTTATTTTAATAAGATGCGACTTTTTCAACTTTTTTTTTCTAAATTTATTATTTTCAATAATTTTTAATGGAATTCTTCATAAATTCAATTATCTTAAATTATTTTTCAATTAACAATTTTATGAAATTCAATAATTATTTATAATTTTAAAAAAATCAAATAACATTACCGAAAATTTCAATTTAAAACCTTTTAAAATTTAATTATTTTTAAAATTTCCCATCTAAAACGTTTTGAAATTTAATAATATTTCAATTATAACTCTTCCGAAATTCAATTATTTTTTAATGATTTTTATAATGTTCTTCAAAAATTCAATTATCTGAAAGCATTTTTCAATTAAAAACTTTTGAAATTCAATTTTTATCTGTATTTTTATAATAAATTCTTCATCAACAGAAATCACAAAAAATTTTAATTAATTATCACTTGTAGTTCAATTATTTAAAAAATCTGAATTGTAAATCTTTAAAAATTTAATTACTATTAAAAAATGTTATCTAAAATTATTTGATAAATTATTATTTTCAATTATGTAAAATTTCATTATTGTTTGAACAGTAAGAATTATTTAAAGTAAAATACTAATTAAATTTAATTAAAATTGACTAAAACGACATTTTTTGCGCCTTAAAGTCGATCCGGGGCCTGATATTCTTATAATTTGTACTTTAGTTTTTGAATTCTTTATAAATTCTCATTGTTTTAAAAACAAAAATATTTGTTTCGCGAACAATTAAATTATATAATTAAAATCAAACCGTTTAAGATAATTTTGCTATATTTTTCTATTTCTTTTTACAGAATATTTCAGATGAAAAATTCATTCAATTATTCGAAGGATTGGAAATGAATTCACATCTTGAATCCTTGAGTTTGACGAATGTTGGACTTACAGATAAGACTGGCCAAAGATTAGCAGATGCTATCGAGAAAAATTCTACCCTTAGAGTTCTCAAGTAAATTTCAATTTTTTTTCTCAATATTTTATCCAATAATATTAAAATTAAGAATATATTTTAATTCTTTTTCTTTTTTACAGTGTTGAAACAAATTTTATTAATCCGCCTGTGATAGTTAAACTTGTCAGAGCTCTTCTCAAAACAAAATCCATTGAAGAATTCCGGTGTTCGAATCAGGTAAAATTATTTTGAAAATTCATATTATTTTTTATTTTGAGGTTTAAAATAGCTAAAAATTAATGGTTATAAAATTTTTTAGAGGTCACAAGTATTGGGCAATAAAATTGAAATGGAAATCACACAACTTGTAGAGCAGAATCCATCGTTATTGCGACTTGGTCTTCACCTTGAATTCAATGATGCAAGACATCGAGTAGCTGCTCACCTTCAACGTAATATCGATAGGAGTAAGTGTTTTTTTATTTAATTATTAATTTTCTAAATATTTATCTGTGAAATGAAAAATTTCACAATTTTAATTAATTACAGTCATTTTCAGGATAAACATATGTTTAAATATAGAAATTATCTAAATTATTTTTTTGAAATTTAATTTTTATATTATGAAAATTGGATAAAGAATTTTCTTTCAGTTATACTAAACTATAAAAAGGACAATAACAATATCTTACTTTTTCGTTACTTTATTTACGGCTCACGAGATTTTTTTTATGATTGCTGTTTAAATTTTCAATTACAAGACTGGACTTTGACTTGTCAATTTTTGAATTGTTTTTTATTATTAGTCTAGAGCATAAAATTTTTCCCTTAGATGGAAGCCAGTGTATGGGAGACTTTGAAGACTATATGACGAAATGCTTCTAAACCATCATAATTTGCCGTAGTTTCACCTAGCGCTTTTCTAGTCAATCACAAATCCATTCAATCATCCTGCTTATATTTACATTTTTTTTTGCTCTTGCTAGCGACATTAAGGTAATTATTCAACCCCCAGAGTATATCGGACCCTTGAGAAAAATAATTGATCAACCTTCTGTCCAAAAAAAAAAAATGTACGCTTATAACTTTCCATTACCAATTAACATCTTATTCTTTTAATTCTTTTTTCTTTTTGAGTCATTTTTTTTGAAAATCTAAATATTTTTTTATTTTTTAATTTTATCTTCATCTGTAAAAAAAATCGTTTTTTAATTATTAAATTTATTAAATTGAATATTTGTCTGGGCAGTCTGTCGTGTGGAAGCTTTGGCACGTGCAAAATCTCTAGCAAACGGTGCAGGTCCTGGCACCTTCTCCATTCTTCCCGAAGATGCTCTAAAAAACCGAACGTAGCGCTGATTTGGCGCAGTGAGTAAATGAAAAGAAAATCATTCCCTTTTTCCAATAATGTAATTTTTTTTTATCACTTAACAAAAAAACAAAAAAATCTTTTTGTATTTACTTGTTACTGTAGGAAGACACAAAATTTAATACCCATTGGTTTTTTCTTTTATATAAAAAGTTTAAAATTAAATTTTTAATTCTTGAAAATAAAATTTTTTTTAAAAATAAATCTTGAATGATTTAACATTTTTTGTTTATTTGTATTGAAATTTTAGTCTTTCAATTATTAACATAGAAAAAAAATAGTCTGATATCGTTTGTACGTTAAAACTATTCTCAATTTTATTGTTTCCTAATCGCATGTATTAACTGCAAATTTAATATCATTAAAATGAGAATTTAAATAAAATTTAAATAAAGGAAAATAAAATTTTTCTTAATTAAAATTTAATATTAAATTCGACTTCATCTTTTGGTAATTAAATCACACAATTGCTCAGTAATTTCACTTCATCCCTTTTGCTTTGATTTTTTAAAAAGAATTTTCCATTTTTTTTTAAATTTTGTTGACAATAAAATAATTAAAAATCTTTTTTGCCTCGTGAAGCTGAAATTGTTTCTTATAATTTATAATGTGCATCATTATGGTTATTTTTTGGTTGCTTTGGACAGTACAAACTGGAGACAATTTTTAGACAGATTTTTTAATCCCCTTCGTCGGTCAGGATTATTAGTGTGTTATTATGATGCTCTGGCCACAGAAAAAAATAGGTACAAAAACATTAAACAGAAACAAAAAAAAAAAAAAAAATACACTGACACCAAAAAAAAAAAAAAAATAAAAATAATGTTAAAAGTGAAAATATTTTTACTTTATAAAGATAAGGATTATTTAATTAAAAGTGTAATTTTTGATACCGTTTTTTATTCTTTCCAACAGTACGGAAAGATCTAACGTTGCGACTACAATTCCGATTCTTTAACATGAATCACAGGAAACCTGCTTTAATACAGTGAAGGTACCTGAGAGCTTACCAATTGGTTAGCAGTGTGCCAAAAAATGCTTTTTCGTTTAAAAAAAATCTTATAAAATTTGCTTTTATTAATCAGCTTATTTCTAACTTAAAAATTTTTAAATTCAGAAATATTTTTTCAAATAATGAAAAGAAAATACTAAAGAAAATACTTTCAAGAATCTCACTCTTGGCGCTTAAAAATCAGTTCTCTTTTTTTTTTTTGAGAATATGAATAATTTTGTAGAATTTTATCGCAAAAAAATTAGATATTCTGAATTTTTCTAATTTTGCAAGAAAAATTCTATTTGAAATTAAAATCAGATTGAGTAAAAAATTTTCGATTTTTATATCAGCGCACCTTTTTTTTTTAAATATTATATTGTCAAATCTGAATTTGTGATTTACATTTAAATAATATATACTATATGTATGATAAGCCTTGAAACTATTTTGATTAGATATTTCTGTGAAATGCCAAGACGTTGAGGTTACAAGCTATTATCTTCACTCTGATGAAGTTGCGAGGCGTTAATTTCGATGTAGAACTGGAGGCGTTTGCTTTACGTGACGTCGTTCTGACATGAACACGTTTACCAGCAAACAGCTTAATGCTTTCTGATTGTTCCAAAACCTTGCATCTTAATAACTTTAATTCCTATAATTGAAAGGAGTGAGATATTTTTTTTAACATTGAAAAAAAATTAAGCTTAAAAAAAACAAGACTTGAAAAAAATTCACAGGGCCGACGAAGGAATAAATAAAAATAAAAAATTTTTTTTATATTAAATATATCGATAATTCGAGGGATGAAGTAATTATAATTGAAAATAATAAATTAATACCTGATTTTTGTTATTAAAAGCATGATTGAATTAAAAAAGGAAATGTTTTGCATATGATATGTATAAATATTGAAAAATGGCATATTTTTTTTTTTAAATTTTGGTTTTTAAAAAAAAAGAAAATTTATTTTTGATCGACAAGTGACATACAAGTTTTCATTGAAGTTATGATGATATTAGAATAAAATGTAACGTTAAGATTAGCAATGTTTACTATAGAGGAAACATTTTGCTGTTCTCAGCGCGCAGAAAGCAATTTTGTGCCACTAGCGATAAAATTCAAGTCGTAAACTTTCTGAACTGGTAAATGTCTGAAGCTTTTGATCTTGCCTCAACGATGCTTTTTATTAAGAATTTTATTAAACTACCACAAAAGATTCTCTAAGCTTCATATAAAAAAAAGGCAGATAGAATTTAATTTCCAGTTCATTTTTTAGAATCACTAAAGAATAAGAAAATTTTGCCCAGTTTGTGTAATTAAAATAATTATACAAATGTCTTGATTGAAGAGCATTAATTTTTTGTTTGATATTTTTAATTAACATATATATATATATATATATATATATATATATATATATATATATATATATATATATATATATATATATATATATATATATTTGTGATTTCTTTTTTGACTTATACTAACAGCAAGTTTTTGAAAAATGAATTTTTTTAGGCATGTTTTTATATATCAAAAATTATGGATTGTTCTCTCAATTTATTCATCAAGAGAAGAAGAAAATATTTTTTTTCTCAAAAAAAAAGGAGAATCATTGATCATTTATGACGGTCCAATAATCATTTTATGTCGGGTACAGAATTGCAAAATTTACGAGGTGGATTAAATTTGAAAATAAATGTTGCCCCTTTCGCAACTTCCACTTTTTAAACTGCGTGACATGATTTCTATTTGTTCAGTTGCTTCTTTTTTTTTTTGGGGGGGGGGAATGAGAGAAGAGTGAAAAATTGTGTGCACACTGTTTCGCATTTCGTTGCACCTAAAATTACAAAAATTGCAAACGAAATGAGAAGAATAATATATTGTTTTTTTTTTTTTTTTTTTTTTTTTTTTTTTTTTTTTTTTTTTTTTTTTTGTAAAAGAATTTGAAATTCAAACCTTGTTGGGGTAATAAATAATTGTCATTGATGATAAAATAGTTGGTCATTAAAATTCTTTTTAAATTATTAAATGAGAATTAATTGAGAGAAGAGTGTTTAATTTTGATTTTTTTTTTCGTTATTGGCATGAGTAAATTGGTTTGTTATTTTATATAATTTAATTGTTACAGTACGGCAGTCCCGGCTCGAGGTGGCAACATCTTAATGTGATGAGGCGCTTTGCCTAGGTATATATTATACATAAACAATATCATATCATACATTCATTTAATACTCACATTCACTATTTTTTTACTCACTACACTGAAAAAAAAATTTATTTTATTTAAATAATCGATTACTTGACTATTATCAAATAAATATTTACATGAACCAAATAATTTTTATTTGAATTAAATAAATTATATTCGGACCAATAATTTCTATATTTTAAAAAAATATCATTTAATTAATTTAAATATAAATTATTTAGTTCAAGTAAATATTTATTTGATAATAAAGTAACCGATTATTTGAATCAAATAATTTTTTTTTTTCCGTGTATAATAGAGCATCATTTGCCAAATCATTAAGGCAAACAAAAATAAAATTACTCAAAAGAATAATTAAAAAAAAAAAAAAAAAATTAGATATATTTTTGTAAATATTTAAAGAAATTATGAAAGTGCGTGTCTAAGAAAGTTCACGTACTTTACAGTAATTTTAAGATTATTATCTGAGGTTGTTAACCACATGCAAAATGCATCATGCGAAAGGCTCAAACAATCTAATCTAACCGACCTTTAAAGTCTTGCCTTTAATTTGGTGATTTCATAAAATTTGCGATCCACATAATCTCACATTTTATATAATCTCAGAAAACCACGTGCGAGGTAACAAAACTATTAAGCAATACAATTTTGCCTTACAAATTTCGATTAAATTGCATATTAGCTAAATGTTATATTAATTATAATAATTTATAAAATAATTTAAAAAATTTATAAAAAAATAATTTATAAAATTTTTTTTTTATAAAATAACTTTCAGGCTTAGGATTTTTTCGACTTTTTCTGACTTTTTGCAACTTATTTTAATAAGATGCGAATTTTTCGACTTTTTAAAAAATTTTTTTATAAAATTGTTAAACAAAACACCTCTTTTTTTAAATATTCAATGCATATCTTCTTAAGATCTTTTTTACTTGAATTATTTAGCAAGTTTTTAGCAAAAATTTTTAATAATTTAAATAAAATTCTTCACAAATTCAATTATCTTAAGCTATTTTACAATTAAAAATTTTATGAAATTTAACAATTGTTTACAATTTAAAAGAAAATCAGTAAACAAAATTACCCAAAATTTCAATTTAAAATCTTTTAAAATGTAATTATTTTTAAAATTTTCAATCTAAAACTTTTTGAAATTTAATAATATTTTAATTATAACTCTTCCAAAATTCAAGTATTTTTAATAATTTCTACTGTAACGCTTCAAAAATTCAATTACTTTTAATAATTTAAATTTTTCTTTAATATCAAATTCAATTGTTTAAAAAAGTTTCAAATAAAAACTCTAAAATTGAATTATTGTCAGAAATTAAAAAAAAAACAGCAATTTGCATAAAATTTATTTTAAATTAAAAATCTATTGCAATTCAATTATTTTAAAAAAATTAATTTAAAAATTTGTAAAACTTAATTAAATAACAATAGATAGTGAAAATGACTCTTACGGTTTTCAGAGTTGAGCCTTTTTCGAAATTCACGATTCAATTGTCCGGAATTTTTTTTTTATCATTGAAACTAAAAACTATGCCAAAATTTTTAATTCGAAGAAATTGCTTTAATCAGACTTTAAAAAATTAAAATAATGGAAGTAATAATTTTTTTTAGAAATTTGCCCTACTTAATTAAAATTTTGAAAATTTATCTTATTTCGATTTTGAAATATTCGAAATAAATTATTTTGATAACTAGCAAAATTAAACGCGCGCAAGCGCGCCAAATTGAGTATTCAATTGTTTGTTATAAAGAAATTAAAGATTAATATTATCAATAATAATTTAATTTATTAGAATATTATTACATATTAAATGATAATAATGAAAATTATATGTTTACAGGCCTCGAATTATACGACTTTTTCCGACCTTTTTCAAAAATACAACTTTTATCGACTTATTTTAATAAAATGCGACATTTTTTTTTACATTTGAAAAAAATTGTAAATAAAATACCTCTTTTTTAGTATAAAATGTAGATCTTCTTCAGATCTTCTTCAATTCAATTATTTAACAAATTTTGAACTAAAATGATTCTTCACTAAATTAATTATTTTTAATAATTTTAATGAAATACATCACAAATTAAAATTTAATAATTGTTTGAAAATTAACAATATCTTTTGAAATTTAATTATTTCTAAAAATTTCAACTTTAACCCTTCGAAAAGGATTATTATTAAAAAAATAATTTTGATTTAAAAATCCGTAAAATATTTTTGTTAAAATAAAAAACAAATCCACTTTTTTTGGAATATAAATTGACTGAAACGACTTTTTGTGTCTTTAAGTTGATTCGAGGCCTGTATTTTTATAATTAATATTTAATAGGTATTCGTTGGCTCCTGGTACCTTAAAAATTAATTTTTAAAAATAAATTTTTTTTAATTACTATCTTGTACTAGAGTAAGTCCACGTCAGAAATATCAGAATCTGCAAGTGGTTCTTCGATTTTAATGATACTTGGTAAAATTATAGCTTTATATAAGAGCAATGTGTAAGTAAAAGGAATTTTTAAAATATCTAAAATTGTAGGAGTTATATCACTTTTAATTTTGATACTGCATTTTTTTCTTTCCTTTATATCTCGGACAATTTTCAACCGATTTTGATGAATCAAAAACGATTTTTTTCAGAAAATTACGTATTTTTAGAAAATTTTTAAATAAAAATAAAATTTTGTTATTTAAATAGAAAAAAGTAAAAAAACAAAATTTCTTTTAGATTTTTTTTCAATTTCGACCTCTTTTTTTTAATTTTTAATTTTTTAATAATATTTCTTTTTATTTTATCTTTAATTTAAAAAAAAATTCATCCTGGAGACTTTTTTAGATCTCGTGATATCGTCCTTTAATTATTATAAGTCTTCATCAATTTGAAAACCGCAGGACTTGCTTCTATCATTACTTTCATTTGTTTGTTAAAATTTTTTATGGTTATGAATAACTATTTGTTTTAGAATCCTCTAAAAAAAAGCTAAAAACGTCAGCTACAATTTCAGGTTGCATTGTTAAGGTTTCATTACAATTTTTTTAAAATTATAAATATTACAAAAAATAAAAACTTTGCTTCAAATCTATTAATAAAATATTGATTTGCTTGAATTTTCACTTGTTTTAGTCAAGTAATTTAAAAATAAAAACATTATTACGCGAAAGTTTCTAGTTTGTAACAATAATATTATAAAACAAATGAAAGTAGAAACACAAATCTGGATCCTAGTTTTTTTTAGATGTGGATATTTAAAGAACAATATCACGAGATCTAAAAAAGTCTCCAGGATGAATTTTTTTTTTAAATTAAAGATAAAATGAAAGGAATATTATTAAAAAATTGAAAATTAAAAAAAAGAGGTCGAAATTGAAAAAAAGTCTAAAAGAAATTTTGTTTTTTACTTTTTTCTATTTAACCCTCTACCTGTTCAAACTTATCCCCACTTTAGCGCCAACGCGTGTAATGCCCATAGTCCCCACCAGAGTTCCGAATTGTCGTTTTTTGTCGATAACGGTCAACTGGACAGGCAGAGGGTTAAATAACAAAATTTTATTTTTATTTAAAAATTTTCTAAAAATACGTAATTTTCTGAAAAAAATCGTTTTTGATTCATCAAAATCGGTTGAAAATTGTCCGAGATATAAAGAAAAGAAAAAAATGCAGTATCAAAATTAAAAGTGATATAACTCCTACAATTTTAGATATTTTAAAAATTCCTTTTACTTACACATTGCTCTTATATAAAGCTATAATTTTACCAAGTATCATTAAAATCGAAGAACCACTTGCAGATTCTAATATTTCTGACGTGGACTTACCCACTATTAAAAAAAACACGTGAAATCAGAAATGGCCAACTTCAAGTTAGGACAGAAGGACAGACCAAGCATTTTATTATTATATATATATAATATTTTTATAGAATTATTTTTATTAAGGAATTAAAATGAATTTAATATCTAATAACATTAATTATTTGTTAATTAACTAATTAAATTTAATAAAAATAAAAAAATCTACTTTTTCGGTTTTTTTTTGAATGGGAATCGACTAAAACGACTTTTTTGTACCTTAAAGTCGATCCGAAGCCTGTAATAATTTATAAAGTTTATGAAAAAAAGAATTTTTAAAATTGTTTCTTTATAAAGTAACTTTTTTTTGTCCATTCTTTATAGATTATTCAAAAAATTATTTCCCACAAAATTGATGGAATAGATTTTGGCATTCATAAAAAGCAATAAAGAGGAAAAAAAGTGGTATATAAAAGGAAGTTAGTCCCTGGTTTGAAATAGAAATTGAAGGCAATTTATTCAGTAATTGAAGCCTCAATTATTTTTCCGGGCCAACTCCCGAGAACTGACTCTTTCCTGTTTCCATTTCTCTTTTCTATTTCATCCCATATCGAGTTAACTGTTTTCTATGTATACATATATACATCGTCGAAAGATATACACTCAAATGTATATATAGTGTACGCCTTTTATAAGACTCATTCAGATAACTTTTTTCACTAGTTGAAAAATGAAGAAAAACTTTTTTTTTCGAAGCTATTTGGCAAAAGCCGTAAATCTGATAGGTAGGCGATATTTTACGTCTTCGTAAAAAAGGGTGGAGATCAGTTTTTAAGAGAAACTATATAATTTTTTTTTATTATTTTGGTTTTTCATATGGAACATTTCTATTTGCCCGAGCGCGCGCGAAAGATTTATTCCCATCTTTTCAAAAATGAAAAATCTCTATAAAATTGTTTTTTTTTTTTCGAGAATTTTAGTTTGTATCGAAATGAAAATTCAATGTTATATCTAGTTCGATAAAAAAGTGAAGTGGAAAAAAGAGCCTGTAGTACATGAACGATAAAAAAATTAATGTTTACCTATTGGATATAAAAAAAGCAGGTTTTAATATTCGATTGAGAAAAATTGATTAATTTTTACGATTTACACAGGGGGAAAAAATTTTATATAAGAAAATATTTATTTAATATTTTTAAAGCTATTAAATTGATAAATGTTTCTTATTAAAAAGTTTTAATGAGAATTTATAAACGAAATTTTTTTTTCTTGAATTATTTATTTTAGATTACAAAAAAAAATTTTTCGAATTTAATTTGCAATTTTTTTTATTTATTTATTTTTATCATTCCAATGTAACTATAATTTTCAAATATTTTTCTGGTATACAACATTCTTTTTTAGATTTCAATGAAGAGATAAACACAAGAGTTATCAGATTTTCCTCTTTTTTTTTTTTTTTTTTTTTTTTTTTTTTTTTCCTCTCTCCCTTCACTCGAATGAATTTTTCACTCGGTCACTTAGTATCATGCTATGTATTTTTCAAGAGTTGAAAGATAATTTAACGCGTAAAAAAAGAAAAAAAATGGTAAGAGTTTTTTCCCCTCTTTTATTTTTTTTTATTTTTTTTTTTTTATGAAAACCGTACTTTTTTGTGAGAAAATTTGTTGTGAATGATGTGATTGATTTTTTTTTTTGGAGATTATTTTTTTAAAGTTAAATAAAGTGCATAATTATTATTATTATTTTTATATATAAATAATGAACAACATTCGCTGACTTAACTGTTAATTGAGTAAATAATTGACAATCATTTTATTGACGATCAATGGAATTATTGGAGCATTTTAAACCAAGTGACATTACAATGCCCAGTTTAACAATTGATGTATCGTTAAATGTAGAAACTTGATTACTGATAGGGAACACTGCAACAAGCATATCGAGCCAGTTTTGAAACTACGATTAGTACGATTCACCGGGCTTCTAATTTCAGGTCACGTATGGGAATATCATATAATGTTGTTGGTGTTCAAAATTTTCCTATTCAATGATAGTTTCAGTTCAACAAATTTTTTTGATAATAAACCTTTTGTAGACAATTAAAAAAAAAAATTTTTGTTTGTCCTTTTCAATCCATTTTTCTCGAAACAAAAAATATTGGTAAAAAAATTCTGTTTTCGTTATATTGTTTCTTCTTTTTGATTCAGTTTTTATTAAAAAAAAAAAAAAAAAAAAAGTATATACACGTTTTTGACGGATCTGTACAACTTTTAAGTGCTTTTCTCTTCTAAAGTAATTTGATTCTGAAATGCTGTCATAGAATGGCGCCAGCTATTCTCGTAAATTTAATATTTCTCTACTTTTAATCGTTAGAGAATAAAGGAATTTTTTTTTTTTATTTAAACTTGTATTTATTTTTATCAAATAAAAAAAAAAAAAAATTTTCAATAAAAGGAAAATAATAATAATAATCATTCTAAATATTTAAAGTTTCACGCTCGGTTAATATTGTCAAGTTCTCTCTTTCTCTCTGATTGATGACATTATTCCAATTCATAATTTTTCCGAGTTCAAAGCTTTCAGCCTGAATGTGATAGCTTTGATTTATAAGCACGGAAAAAATTCTTTTAAACACATTATTTATATGATAAAAGTGAGGGAATTTAATTTTTGAATTTTTATATTTTTTTAAAATTTTAATTAGAAAATTTTTATTTCTATGTTTAAAACAATGTAAGCAATGTAAGTTATTTTATATATGTGAAAATAGAAGAAGAGAGCTAGTATTTTATATTCTCCAAACTTACTGCACATGGAATTTAAGTGAATTCATGAATTTCAAATGAATTATCCAGACCGTTGTGATGTCAAGTTAATAGTTAAGTTAATAGCTAGTGGAATGAGAAGTCGCGGCTAATGTAGTTTCATTTTGAATGTAATATGTGTGTCGCTTAATAAACTTTTGGGGGGGTTAATTTAATTTTTTTTTCAACCCAACAATTCTAAAACTATTAACAATCAAATGAGAAAAAATTATTTTTTTCGCCAAAAATTATAAATTACTTGTTTAAATTGTTAATTATTTATTTATAATTAATAATTTTATATTATAATTATAATTATACTTATTAATTCAGGCCTTGGATCGACTTTAAGGTACAAAAAAAGTCGTTTTAGTCGATTTAAATAAAAAGATCAAGTTTGAAGTTCAAATGGTTAACAAAAATTTCAGTCATTTTTTAAAAATAAAATAATTGTTTGAAAAAAGGAGAATTTTTATCTCAAAATTTTTCAACTAAAAAATTTTGAAATTCAATTTCTATTTGCATTTTTATAATAAATTCTTCAGAAACAGAAATCACAAAAAATTTCAATTAAAAATCACTTGAAGTTCAATTACTTTCAAAAATCAGAACTGTAAATTTTCGAAAATTCAATTATTCAAAAAAAGGTGTAGGTATCTTAAATTATTTGATAAATTAGTTTTAATTCTGTAAAATTCAATAATTGTCTGAAATTTAACAATATCACAGAAAATTCAATTATTTTCAAAAATTTCAATTTAAATCCTTCTAAAATTCCATTATTTCTGAAATTTTCGATCAAAAATTTTTTGAAATTTAATAATTTCAATTATAATTCTTCCGAAGTTCAATTATTTTTAATCGTTTTTATAATATTCTTCAAAAATTCAATTATCTAAAAGCATTTTTCAATTAAACATTTTTAAAATTCAAAATTTTTTCTGTAATTTCTAATAAATTTTTCAGCAACAGAAATTACAAAAAAATTTCGATCAAAAATTACTAGATGTTCAATTAATTATTTTCAAAAATCTGAATTGTTAATTTTATAAATTCAAATATTTAAAAAAATAATTTAAAAAAATGTCAATCATTTTTTTTTTAAAATAAAAGAATTTTTATCTAAAAATGTTTTAAATAATTAAATTTTAAAAGAAATTGATAAAAATTATTTAAATTAAAACAATTGATTAATATTATTGAAAATTATTAATTTGGCGGAGAATTTTAGATAATTTTTTATTTTTTTTTTTTTATTTAGATTTCCTGCGTACACCTTATTTTAGATAATTTTAAAAATAATTAAGTTTTGGAAAAGATGTAGTTTTTTTTGTACAAATTACAGACAATAATTGAATATTAAATAATTTTTAATTAAACGGAAAAATATTTTAAATTATTGAATTTTAGAAAAAGTTTGCTAAAATTATAAAAACTAATTAACTTGGCAAATAATTTTAAATAAAAATTTAAAAAATAATTGATTTTCAAAAGAGCTGTGGTCAAGATTTTAAGGATTAATCAAATTTCAATAAATTGACAATTGAAAATTTTGTAAATTTCAATTTTCTGAAGACTTTTTAAAGAATTTTTGTCAATATAATTGAATTTTAAAGAATTTTAAACGAAAAATATTTTAAATAATTGAATTTTCGAATAATTTCATTGAAATTATTGAAAATAATTAATTTTGCAAAGATTTTTCAGATACAAATATTCAAAATAATTGAATTTTGTGTGAGCTACAGTTTGTACAAAAATGTCATTGATATTTTATTTTTAATTTAATTAAAATAAAATAAATTTTTTTTTTTTTTTTGTAAAATAAGTTGAAAAAAGTCGTACAATCCGAGGCCTGTTAATTACATATTTAATTATTTATTTATTTACTTATTTAATTACCTATTTGTTTAAGAAATATTGTTCATTAACTACCACCATTTCTATTTATTATATAAAAATGTTTAATAATTTTTTTATTTCTGTTTATTGTTTAGATCGGGATCGTCGCATGGGAAGGCTATCTCGTAACAACACCATTGGCTGGGTCACACAATAATAATAATAATATCTTTATAGAAGACAGTCTACAACGGGGATTTTGATCGTGTCGATCAAACTCATTATCATTAATAATTTTGCGACATTGCTTGTTTTTTAGTAAACATGCAGCACGAATGCAAGATCGGAATATTCTTATCTCATAAATCATGTCCAGATAATTTACCTTTTAGGAGATCATCGAAAATCGGGTAAAATGGCCTATACAATGAGTTTTTTTTTTTTTTTTTAAGTTTATTTACGTTGAAAAAAGGGATTTAAAAACTCTTAAGTAAAAATGAATAATAATATTTAAGAAGCGTTTTGTGTATATTTTGATAGAAAATTTCTTTGAGTCCTTTTATATATATGTAGTTTATAAAGTTTTTATAAACAAGTGGTGAAAAATAGAAAAAAAAGTAAACTAAAAATAGTTAAAAACAAAAAAATAGATATAATTGGTATCTAGTGTAAAAATTGTTCTATAATTGACTTAAAAATTTTCTATCAAAAATTTGAATAATTCATTTTTATGGCCTAGATGGAAATTTATTTTTTCTTTTTTTTTTTATTGAGTTTTTAAGCAATTTTTGCAACGCGCAAATGGCGGCAGAGAGAAAAGGATGAGACGCAGGAAGAAGACGACGACATGCAACCAACAGAAACTTCCGGTTATATACAGAGAATCTCGGTTGGTGGGAATACGGTTATTGAATTTCCGTCGAGAGGAATATTTTACACGATAAACTACGGAGAAAATCGTTTTTAAATTCCTTTGTCAAAAGAATTTTCACAGCTAAATTTTCTTTTTTTTTTGACAATATTCAATAAGGAATTAATTTGCGAAAAAATATAATTTTTTTTCAATCAAATTTTTTTTTTGAAATTCTATTTCGAAATGATATCAATAAATAATACTAACCGCTAAACGAAGAATGAAATATGTAAATCTGCCTATCGCTGTGTGTAGTCGTTGTGAAGCACGGTTCTGGGTTAACTTCCGGTTGCCTGGCCACGGATTCATGGATACCAGAAGTGTCGTTTTCCAGCAGGATAAACCGCGAAATCCGTTCCTACCTGGTACGACCACTTCCTGTATTTCCACGTTGGTAATGTAGTGCGCCTTCTTCTCATCGTCTCTCTTTTTTTTCACCAGGACTTTCTCGTTGAATCTCCTGAAAATAAAAAAACACTTCTTGTACATTTTTATCAAAAAAAAAAAAAAAAAAGAAAGTATTAATCTGCTGCATCGTTTTAATTTCGTATTTCATTCAACCGTCGTAGAGTCTATTTTCAATAATTTTTAATTCTCCTCTTTTTTTATAAAAACGATGATCGACATTTTTTTGGTCGTGATCTTTTTTTTAATTGTACACGTATTAAAATCACAATTTAGTCTAGCTAGAAAAAAAAATTACGCTAGTAAAAGAGAAATATTGACATCTTCCCCTTCCCCTCTACTTTTTACTTTATTGTAAAGCTGTAATTTTTTTTTTTTAATTACATTTTTTTTTTATCTAAAAATCGGTTTTGTCATTGTCATTAATTTTTTTTTAGTTACAGTGATAAAATTTTGTTGGATAAAATTTAAAATTTTGTAATTTAAAAAAAAAGATATATATATATGTTACATTTAGGAAACTGAACGTGAATGTCCTTCGCTAACTCTTATTCCTGCCAAAAGCGCGATATTTTAGAATAGTTTTATCGTGATGTAAGAAATCTGAATCGAAGATACATGTATGTTAATTATTATTATTATTACTATTATTACTATTATGATTATTATTATATAATTAATATATTGCAATTCTTATTCTAATGCTATGTAGACTGGTTAAGTGAATTGAGTTTCGACAATTGATAAAAATATTATTAACTTAATTTAAGTTACGTTTTTTTTGTAATATACTTCGATTTTTATTTTTATTTTAAATATTCATAGAGTGGAATATTTAAATAAAAAAATATTTTATTTAATTTAATTCAATTTTTTTGAAACAATTTTTTGTTTGAAAATTTGTTTTTATTTTATATTTTTTGCAAATTTTTTTTTTTAATTTATCATATTTTTTTTTAAAATGAAATATGATTTTGTTTTTAATAAAAAGATTCGTTTTATTATCAATTTTTATCACTGGCTTTATTCACTTGACCGTCAGTATAAACTACTGAACTATTTACGCACTAATAATAAGCGATTTAATTGTACATATTATCGTCTTAATACGATCGTTTCGATTATTATGGAGCACATATTAGTTTAATATATATATATATATAGATATGTATAAGGTTGCAAGTTATAAAAATTTGAATGGTGTAAGAAAGAAAGTAAAAAAAAAACACACACACTTATATCACAGTAAACAATTTATTATAAATGTTTTAAAATGCATATTGCAATTGTTTATTTCAGACCGTCTTATATTTTAGTATGGAAAGAGTGACATATTGGAAGGTGGAAAAAAAAATGATAGAAAAAAAAAAATAGTAGCATTGTTATAGTATTGCAAATTGGTTATGCTCACATTTTCATATAAATGCACGCACACGATCAAAAAGCCTTGCTGCTAGCTTATCTTGTAACACGAGATTTAAATAAATTTTCAAAATTCATAAATGTCTTTTATATGATTATATAAATACCTTTTCTTTTATAAATCACAATTTATAATTTAATATCTTATTTTTCTTAATTTTATTTTTAGTTTTCCTTGGGAAAATTTGAAAGTAATATTAAATCAAGACAGTGGCGCTATATAATCGGATTTAATATACTTTATGAACTGAAATTACACCCGCGAGTTAAGAGAAAATTAATATAAAGTTGATTTAAAATTAAATTAGCTTTTTTTATGCTTTAAAATAAAAAAAAAAAAAGTAACTTTATTTAGATTTTTTTTTGAAATTTTATGTTTTTGGTGAATATACGAATGGGTTTTTTTTTACACCCAATAGTGTGTATTGTGTTTGAGAATAATCGGATCGAACGTTGACGAACTTCAATTCAGGTCCAGTATTATATCGAAGCCAACAAAACTTCGATTTACGGTCCAAATGCTCGAAATTCACCTTAACGATCAGGACCGGGGCTTGTTATTGCATGCAAATTGATAATCGAATCTTGGATTTATTGGCTTTCAGAATCGGGTCTTAGTAGTTCCAACTTGATCCCTGTCAATATGAATTAATTTAATCTTGTATTAGAGCGAGGCTTTACATAACAATGTGCAAAATTTATTTTTTAATTATAATATTCTTTTTTGTGTGTAAATAATTTTATTTATATAAACTTTATTTTCCTGAAAGCTTTTAATTTCAAATTATGAATATTACATTAGAAATATTTTTCAAATTTCTTTATCAGTAATAAAACCAACTTTCAGTCAGACGAACTCTATTAATTAACAGGCCTCGGATTATACGCGACTATTTCGGACTTATTCCGACTTTTATTTCGAAAAAATGACTTATTTTATAATAAAAAAGGAGTTTTATCAACTTTTTTTCACATTTTTTGACAAATTTTAAACGAAATACGTCCTTTTTTAGTTTACAATGCAGATTTTTTTTATTACAATTATTTAACAAATTTTTAATTAAAATACTTCTCTAAATTAATTATTTTCAATAATTTTCACTTATTTTCATGAAATTCTAGAAAATTTAATTATTTCAAATTATTTTTCAATAAAAAATTTTATGAATATCAATAATAAAATAAAAATTTTAAAATAAATTATCAAACAATAATTACCAAAAATTTTTATAATATTCTTAGAAAATTCAATTATCTAAAAGCATTTTTCAATTAAAAACTTTTGAAATTCAATTTTTATCTTTATTTTTATAATAAATTCTTTAGCAACAGAAATCAGGAAAAATTTTAATTAAAAATCACTTGAAGTTCAATTATTTTCAAAAATCAGAATTCTAAATTTTTGAAAAATTCAATTATTTAAAAAAAGGTTATCTAAAATTATTTGATAAATTATTTTATAATTATGTAAAATTTAATTATTGTCTAAAATTTAACATCACAATTGAAATTCAATTATTTTCAAAACTTTCAATTTTAATCCTAAAATTTCATTACTTTTTAAAATTTTCGATCTAAAACTTTCCGAAATTTAATAATTTCAATTATAACTCTTCTGAAATTCAATTGTTTTTAATTATTTTTATGATATTTTCTTCAAAAATTCAATTATCTAAAAGCAATTTTCAGTTAAAAACATTTGAAATTCTATTTTTATCTGTATTTTTGTAATAAATTATTTAGCAACAGAAATCACCAAAAAATGCTATTAAAAATCACTTAAAGTTCAGTTATTTTCAAAAATAAGATTTGTTAATTTTTAAAAATTCAATTATTTAAACTTTAAAGAAAAGGTTATCTAAAATTTTTTTAAAAATTATTTTCAATTCTGGAAAATTTAATTATTATGAAATTCAACAAAATCTTTTATAATTCAATTATTTCTAAAAATTTAACTGTAACTTTAAAAATTCAATTATTTTTAATAATTTTAATATTTCTTTAAAAATTAAATTAAATTTAAAAATGTTTCAAATAAAAACTTTAAAATTAAATTTAAAAAATGAAAAAAAAGTAAAACAGTTTAAATTTGCAGAAAATTTATTTTAAACCTTCTGCAATTTAATTATTTGAAAAAAAATTTAATTTAAAAATCTGTAAAACTTAGTTATTGTCAAAATTTTTTTTTATTATTAAAAGTTTAAAACTAAAAACTGTGCCAAAATTTTAAATTCGAATAACTTGCTCAAATCAGACTTTAAAAAATTTTTTAAATGAAATGAAATTTTTTTTCGAAATTTACTCTATTTAATTAAAATTTTATCTTATTTTGATGCATAGAATTATTATTATTATTAATAATTATGTATAGAAAATTATTCTTACTAAGGAATTAATAAAATGAATTTAATATCTAGCAACGTTAGTTATTTAAAGTAAAATAATTATTAACTAATTAAATTTAATTAAAATTAAAAAAATTGTTTTTTTTTGTCCATTAAAGTCGATCTGAGATCTTAACTCTTAATTAATCATCTCAGTAGTAAAATTGAGTTGCAGTCATACTTTCTTTTATGTATAAGATATCAGTAGTAAAAGACTATTTTTGTCAGACAAAGTGTACTATAATTAGTGGTAAAGAACAGTTTTAGTCAGACTAATTTTTCTTTTAACCGAACTTTATAATTAGACACATTTTAGCTCGAATTTCAAAATTAACTAATCAAAAATAATGAGGAGAATTATAATTAGTTAATTTTGAAATCTACGCTCTAAAATAATTCCATTGCATTTTGTGAATATTCAGTATTAAATGACAAACTGTAGTAGTTTTGTTCAATTTTCTCGAAAATAGAATTTGGAGAATTTTCATATATATGTATATATAATAATTTTCTATTTCAATCGATAAAAATTTATTTTTATTTTCATATATAATAATAATAAATGATTAATTCCGTTAAAAGTATCGCATATATTTTATAAAATATATATTTATGGTTGTATATTAAATGTTAATCTCTACGAATTTGAGTACTCTGCGCAATATATAAGTATCTATATATCGATATTTACTTTGTAAAATTTACGATATACATTAACTGAAAAATCGATAGATTCCTGCAGGGCTTTCACTTCAGAATGAATCGTAAAACAAGTTTTGATACTTGCTTTCGCGTTGTAAAGATTTCAATCAAGATTGACACTAGAAATAACTTTGTGCGTTATTCGCATCAACACGACGACACTTGATTCATCACAATATATATATACACTCACTTTGCAAAACTGGCTTTCTCAATTTTATAACTTCCAAATGTCAATTTTATTGCTAAAATGTAATCAATATAGAAGTGCGAGGAAAAAAGATTATTATTTTAATACAATAAAAATTCAGTAATTTTAATTAAGCAAGAAAATTGAAAAATTATTTTTAAATTTGATTTATTAATTTTTAGAATTAATTTCTAATACTTACTCTAGAAACAAATTATGAAAATGTTTTGGATCCTTTTTAATACCGGAGATTTCCATCCCCCTTCATACAATGTGTCTTATATATAGTAAGGAACCAACCATCCTTAAAATAATGCTAGGACGGAGCCTGATAAACTTCATATTGCTAATGCACTTTGTTTTGAACATCTGATGTTTCAAGGTGTTATGTCGAACAGCACTTTCTGGGATATTGACTGGAAAGTAAATGGAAAAAGAGCAAAGTGATACAACAATACTAAAAATAATTTTCAATTTTTGATAATTTAATATTTTTTTGAGAATAAAATTTTTTAGGTTATATATTTTTCGCAGAAAAACAAATTCAGATTTTTTTGGTATTATGATGCATTTACATTTGACTAATGTTTTCATTTCTTTGCATTTTCCGAATTGAACAAACTTGATTGGTTGTTCATAATTAATTAGATTGTGAACAACCAATCAGGTGTTTGTATTTCGGAAAAAAAAAATTTTGTTTGATCCATTAGGGTACGGTCATAGCTCAGCTACTTACATAGGGTCGTCATGGTAACGTATAAGAGTATAACGTATAAGAGAGAAATAAAAAACATTCCTTATTTCTCTCACTCTTATACGTTACCATGGCGACTCTACTTATTGTAAGCTGTGGCCGTACCCTAAACGTCTCACAGTGAAATAGTTTCAGCTTTCAGTATAACATCGTTGAGTAAATAGTTTTTTGTCAAGTGCATTGTTTTAAATTTAACAAAAGTCATTAATATGTGGAAATAATTAATTATTAAGATCATTCTATTGGTGATGGCGTTCAACAATTATCAACATTTCCAGCATTTTGTAAGTACATTCACGTTATCATTTATATTTTTTAGAAATGCATTTTCTGTAGAAAGTACAAATTTTTATTAAATTATTTATCCTAACCTAAAAGTTCCTATGTCAGTTAAATGCAGGTTCATTTGCAGTTAACATTCTATAAATTTACTCTAGTATAATAAAGAAATAACTTTTTGAATTAGTATTTTTTTGTGTATGACAAGTCCCTTTTCAATTATTTATATTTTACTAAAAAAAAAGTGATTCTTATTTAGGGAGTTTTTTCAATTTCAATAACACATTTAACGACTCAGTTTTACCTTGACTAAAAGTTTCTTTTTAATCATGTAAAATCAAAATCAGTTTTTATTGAATATTTTTGATATACTGAAAACATAACCTGTAATTTTTTCCTTAGGCCCTTTTCTTCAGAACGCGTCTCATATAAATAAATATACTATATATTATATTATATATAAAATATAGAATATTAAATTTCTCGACGAAAATAATAATAAACACATCAGAAACTTTAGCAGAACGTAAAATTGACAAATGTCAGCATAAGACACTTTCCACGTTAATACTCGTGTGAATCAATTATGTTCCTAATAACGTCGCTATTTCTCACATGGGATTTGTCAATTATGTAACTTATAATTAGGACATGGGGCGCTGACAACTTTCTGAACCGGATTATATGTATCTGTCGGGTTTGCTGATAGACGAACGTTGGAAGCAAAAGGGGATGTTAAAATACTATATATATATAACGACCACACTTTAAA